TGGCTCACATATTGGCCGAAACATCCCCTATGTTTTGGATTTAAGTTTTGGACAATTTTCTTTAGGCCATCTCTAACCAAAAGGGCCATCGTCTAGATTATAGCCCTACAAGAAATTATTTTTTAATGAACAGTGTCAGACCATATTTATATACCATCTCCAACTGAGTGGGCCAAATGGTCATAGGTTAAACATAGCTCGTTTTGACACAAAACCTATCTCCAACCGAATGAGGCTATTTTTTAGCCCTGTAAATAATTTATTATTTTAAGTTTTTTCTTTAATATATTGGTTAATTGAATTAAACTACCATATTAAAATCAGGTTTTCAGACATATTTTGAGTATCACTTGTCGCTAAATGAATAAGCCTCCAAATTTCTTATCTTTATATAATCTCAATAATTTTTCGGATAGGATTTGGAGTGACACGTGTCGCTAAAGTGAGTAACTCTCCATATTTTTTTTGTTTATGTAATCTTAATAATTTTTCGGATATGATTTTGAGTGCCAGGTGTTGAGATGTAATTGGTTATGCAAATTTTAGATAGGATTTTTATTTACGTGACACTTCTTATCTTCAGCTTCCAATGTTACTAAATTGGCTAGATATTGGGGCAGAATTCACACACCTTCATCTTTTCAAATGGTAAAAAAGATGTGAGAAATTGTGTAAAAATGGCTTAGGTATTTATACAAAAAAAAAAATTAAAATTAAAATTAAATTTTTTTAAATTTCGTCAAAAATTTTTTTCAAATTCCAATGGCTACGTGACGTCAGGATGACGTCATGTTACCATTGGACTGGATTGGGCCTACCCAAATCTGGCTAGCTGGGTGGCTTTCTTTGGCCAGCCCACATGCCTTGTGGCTGATTTATGGCCCAATGGGTCCTACAAGCCTTTTGGTTCAACCTTAGGTTGGAGATGAGTTTTGTGACAAAACGGGCTACATTTTGGCCTACATCCCTATAAATAGATGTGAAAAATAAATTAAAACAAAATCAACCCACATCAAGCCCTAACACATCTACGCCCACCACTTTCTGGTGGCTTTTTCACGATGTCAGTGAATCTTTTGTGCCAGCATCTCCTCTCTGTCTCCTCCTCTTCCGTTTTACATTGTTTCTTTTTGTTTTTTTTTTATTAAAAGTTTCCAAAGAGAAATTGTCAACCCTCCTTCAGGCCATTGCAATTAGTTGCAATGTTGAATACACGAATTTGGTGGAATGGAATCCAAATGCTTAAAAAAGGTTCATGCTTTTTTACTTTGTGAATGAGTTAATAATGAGTCTCACATTGATGAGAGGAATGACTTTGCAAGGGCTTATAAGTAAGTTGGGCTACTTCTCATATTGTCAATTTATTTTATGGTGAAACCGTAACTTTCTTCATAGTATGTCCCATATGTGAAGCCAAATGGTTACATGCGTTGCACGTCATCATGTTGTGTTGTCTACGTGTTATACTTGAAAATTTGCCATACGTGAGGGGGCATGTTGAGAATGAGTCCCATCACACGTCATCCTGTTGTGTTGTCTACGTGTTATACTAGAAAATTTACCACACGTGAGGGGGTATGTTGAGAATTAGTCATACAATTAAGGAATGAAGGATCTTGCATGAACTTATAAATAAATTAGGCTACTCCTCATATTGCCAATTGATTTTATGGTGAAACATTAACTTTCTTCATAATGAAATAGCCCTTCTACTTCATGAATTGGCATTTGGTCATGAATTGGCATTTGGTGGAATGGAATGCAGATATGAGACTTACAATCCTGTCGTACAAAACCGATGACACGAGGAACCACGATCTCCAGTTTGACGGAGAAGGGGTGGTGGAGGGGAAATTTTTCAATATGACCGGAATACGAGGTGATATATCACGTATTTTTATATAAGTGATGAAAAATTTTAATTTTTAAGTTATTAACTTTTTAACACACATATCCCACAATTTATATAATGACACGTGGTATACCACTCGAATTCCGATCACAATAAAAAATTTCTCGTAGCGGAGGCATCGAAAAGAAGGCGTTGAGATAAGAGTTGAGATAAGAGGGAGCCTTCATGTTCTATGAACGTTGTCCGAAGTCAAAGCTTGTGGAAGGCAATTGTGGCTGCCATGGAAGGCGGTGCGATGCAAAAAGTGGTGTCGTTTAATTTGAAGTTGCCATGGGGTTTTTGACGAGGATTAGAATCCCATATTGGGTGTGGAAAGAAATTTATTTATTTAATATTTCTTCAATTTTATTCAGGGGTGATATAGGAATTTTAAAAAAATATCTTTTAAATTGAGTGTGAAAAGAAGTTTATTGGGTTATAATAAAATTTCTTTTTTATTCCGTTTCATAATTATACGTTTGTTTACAAAATTCTTTTGTATTAGAATCCAGATAACATTACTTTATTTATATATCACAACTGTAATAAATTAACATGTATCTATCATATTACGTAATAATTAAAATTAATTTTTTTTTAAGGAATGTGGTGGCTGCAAGTTATGCCTGGTGAATTTTAGCATTCATGTAGGGCAGCCAGCAATGTTCAACAGTGGCAGCTCAGGCAGGCATGACCTGGGATTTTTTTTAATATAATTAATTTGCCTAAAATAAGTAATATACCCCATTAATTAGAGTGACAATTACCGTACAACACCCACGTGGCATAAAAATAAACAAACTCTCATGTTACTTCAAAGGCTAGCCTACTCTTATATAAAAATGTTATTACAAGTTTACAACCTATTTAGAGTGTGGAAATAATCGATTGGTTCAATGAATTCCAACATAATAATATATACCTCAACCTAAACTGTTTAAAGCTAATATTACTTACAATTTAGATGAATCGAGGTGGTTATTTTTGGACAGGAGAAACACTTTATGTTTAGATTTAGAGTTTAGAGCTCTCGTTGATTGTTTTTATTATGCACTTCTGTTTTCTCACGTAATTTAAAAGAAATTAGTATTAATTATAGCAACACACTATGCTATACATGTAGCGTTAACTTGCGTACGAGAGTTTAGACCTAAAAAGACAAAGGAAACTGCAAGCCTTTTAGAGAATAAAAAGTCATTAACAAAATTCATGTTGATGATTTGTTTTCTGTTTTTCTAAGATGTTACATGGTGAATTGTTCTTGGACCCTATATTTTATTTGGCTTCATCACTTTCTATCCTTTATTTATTATAATTCAAATATAGAACTGGGGAGGGGCAGTGTCATTCTTACTTTTTTTATCATTCATTTCTTTTAAGGGAATTTTAACGAAAAATCATATTTTTACACTAAAAAAATCAATTATGGTACTATTCACTTTATATTTTTTTTTATTATCGTTAAAACTCAACTTTTTCATTAGTTTTCATTTCTTTCAATGGCAAAAGAAATTTTTTTTTAATTGAGGGGTATATTTGGAAATCAGTTCTTCCCTATCTTGGATTATAATATAAGGAAAACTAATGAAAAAAACTTGAAAACTTTTAGTTTTAACGATAAGGACAAAATAAAGAGTAAAATGAATAGTATCATGATTGACTTTTTATTGTAAACATGTGGTTTTTTTTTAAAGTGAACAGTACCAAGAGCTTTTCGTTAAAGTTTCCAATAATATATGGTTAAATTTCACCAAATCTTCAAACTTCAAAGTTGTATAAAACTTTAGAACACTTCCATTTTTAATCAGATTTATATCCCACTTAAGACTTATTTCTTACATAACTCAAGGAATCCATACTTCTTACAACCCTTGTTGGAAATTTTGAGTAGAAATTTCTTTGTCCCACATTGGTCATTCCCAAAAGATTTCATCACTTTATAAGGCTTTGGCCCTTATAGAAAGTAATTGGAGTAATAGGCATTGAAGAATAAAATTGGGCTCACCCTTGGGTTGAGCTTTGGGGTGTACTAATTAATTGGTAATTAATATGGAAATTGTTAATCACTTTGGAGTGCTAATAATAGTTCCCATTAATATATAATTAATTATCAAAAGATGGGCCTTGAGGTTTTGAAAATTAATTTCTTTAGTTAATTGTTTTTAAATAATTTCGAATTTAATTAAATTATTTTTTATTTGAACAGACTCATCTTTTCAGATGAAGTCTGAAGTCAATGAAAAAACACAGAGAACTCAGCACCCCATCTAAAGAGATGTCTCCCAACAGTCACATCCCATTTTCATACTTGTTGCAAACATGTATAATCCCACTATATATACATCAATTTGCATGACATTTAAGACACATAAAATCAACATTCTTCTTCTACAATCACAAATATCCTTTATCAAAGAACCACACAAAAATTCGCCAGAAGTCAAGTTTTTTGATGCTGGAATTTTGATTTGATCGTTGAATCCTAGTAAAGCAAATGTCCGTAGAACTACAAGCACCGAGTATGGGCGAAATTTTTGTTTCAAGGACATTGCAGTACGCAAGCCTCGATTTTCAATATTTATGTTTAATATTATTTTATTGTTCATACACTGTTTATTATTAGCATATATAAATTTATCACAGATTGTTGACATATCTCCAACACCCACTTCTTTTACATACACTGTCTTCCTCACCCACTATACAACTTCATAAACATTTTTATCCTAACTCATGGTTTTTTTTTTTTTAAGAAAAAACCCAACTCATGTTTTGTTGTTCCTCGTTTTTTTAGCAAGTCTTTTATTACTAAATCCTTCGAGAAATTCGATGTATCTTGAACACCAACACGCATTTTTTTATTTACTTTTTATGAATTAAAATTTATCCTTGATTAATGATGACGGTCCTTGTAAATCTTATTTGTAGTTTCCTTTTGAGTTAATTTAAGGCTCCATGACCCTGACCCTTCATGTTAACAAATAAAAAAAATGAAAAAACTAGTGTGACGAGATCAATTTAAGAATCTTTTAAAGAGAGGGGAGAGAGAGAGAGCAGCCCCAATAGTTCTTTTTTTTTTTTTTTTTTTTTTCAAGATTTACAACAGCCCCAATAGTTCTTTGAAGCTTGCAAATTTCATTCATTCCATTTCAAAAACCAAGAACACTCCTCATTCTTCAAAACCCTCTCCCAAAAAAATGATGAATAAGCATCAGCAACACCACCCACCACCTTCATTTCCAAAGCACTTCCTCAATGCCCAAATCCACCTCCATAAAATCGTCTCAAGTTTTCTAATCTTTGCTTTCGGTTTAGCACTAGGCGCTTCCCTCAGCATCTACCTCAAAGATTTCCCCTTCCAACTTTATTCAACACAAAACAAATACTCTCATTTGTCAACAAATAATCTAACATTTTCTTCTCCACCACCTCCACAATCTCTCAATATCCCAACAAATAATCGAACATCTTCTTCTCCACCACGACCACCACAATCTCTCAATATCCCGACAAATCAAACAAGAGCCAAAACCTCCGCCGCCAGCCCTGTACCACCAATAGGGTTGAAAGAATACACTAAGTCGCCGAATATTTTGCATGAAATGGACGACGATGAGCTGTTGTGGAGAGCTTCTCTGGTGCCGCTACGGCGGGGTTTGCCATTTAAACGGACTCCAAAAGTTGCATTCATGTTTCTGACGAGAGGGAGCCTGGCAATGGCTCCTCTCTGGGAAATGTTCTTCAAAGGACATGAAGGGCTGTACTCCATTTATGTCCATGCCAATCCGGATTTCAATGACACCATACCTGAAAACTCGGTTTTTTATGGCAGGAGGGTTCCGAGTAAGGTCAGTTTATCATGTTACAATCCTAATTTTTCTTGATTAATTTTCATCAAGCATTTTTGTTACAAGTGTTTTTATCTAATTTACAGAAAAAATTGGGAATATATATGATTAACTTGTAGTAGTTCAAAGCAATGATGACTTTGCGTGTATACATATATAGCAAATTGAATTACGCCACACAAAGAGTAATGCTAGAGAGACTGAATTTGTAGAATAAATTTTGTAAACTAAATGATATGGAAGTTGATGATGATTATTACTTCCCAAGCCAACCTTTATGGGTGTTCTGTCTAGTTAACTGATGGTATGGAGTAGAATGCTTTATGCTAGCAGCTAGCTTCATTAATTTTTTTGTGTACGCAATATGTTCTCCTTTTTGTTGCAACAATATTCTACCCGTTGTAAAATTGTTTGAGTTAATTCACATAATGGATTATCCATAGTTAAATATTAAATTTGAGACCCCTTATTTACAAGTGAAGAATAAAAAATCATTAAACTATAGTACTACACATTATTGCTTTAATTTTGATATTCAACTTTTCTCCACATTCAAATTTGCATAAGAAAGTGTTTTTTTTTCCTTCTTTTGGCTTTTACAGTAAAGCTTTACAACTATTTTAATTTTTAAAATTTTTATATTTAGATTTTATACTACGCACTTAATTACTTCTTTTCATATAAACTAGTATTTGCCTACACATTTTGTGTGTATGAACACATTTTTTTAGAAAATGGGAAGGAGAGAGGGAGGGAGAGAGAGAGAGAGAGAGAATGTGGGGAATTGGGAGATTTTTTTTTAAATTAAATTAATTTTTTTTTAATTTTTAATTTTTAATATTGGAGGTATTTTAATATCACATGTAGGTGAAGTTTCAATAACAAACAGTAAAATTTAAACTTGTGAAATTACATTATTGCCCATCATTTTTTTATGTGATAGAAGATTAATTTGTTTTTTCACTCTCTTTTGATTGACAAAGAGAGTTTCATTAATTAGTAGAGATTAGTTAGCCATTTTCTAGACACCACCTTTTGGATAACTAGTAAAATCAAATTGATTTTTCTTGAGAATTGAGGCCATTGTTTGTAAATGGAAAAGCCATCAACCTTGCCTCATAACATGCCTCATACAGTGGAGAACTTCATGCCCATGTTTTATATATTATTGGTCTGTAGAGTTGTTGCATTACTTAATTATTCATTTTGCATAACAAGGCTTTGGAAGACCAAATCATCATTTGTTTATTTAAGTATGTATATGTGTGATTCTGCATTATGACAGGTTTGTCAATAAAAATCGGAGGCAGATCCTCTCAAGACTTACACCTCCGGAGCCTAGATTCACATAATTCTGGCCTTTAAAATTTGATCGTACAGCTAAAATTTTTATTATTTTTTGAAAACTACAATAATTTTTGGCCGCATGATCAAATTTAAAGATCAAAATTATTTGATCCTTGAACTCCGTAGAGGATCTGCTCCCATGAAAATCTACCTTCCCTTTTTTTGGGTAAAGACGATACGATAGTATAAAAAATCTACCTTCCCTTAATTACTTAAGCTTTTCTTCAGAAGTTATTTATAGTTTTAAAGGCACTGAAAATATTAATATTGATAGTTGACATTCTTTTCAATGCATCATGTTTAAGGAATGATATGTATATTATCTAAGTTTCAGAATACATTAAACTTAATAACTTAATTCACTTATAAGATACACACACACACACACATTATAGAATCTAAGCAGATCTTCATCTTTTAATCCTTATAATAATTGGAATTACTGATATAGTGTCAAGAAATGATTTGACAGAAGAACATGGGTAAAACCTGTCTATATGAGCTTTTCCCTGCGATATTTTTTGACAAATTAATCATATTCAACTGTGGAAGAAGTCGTGAAGACAAGATGAACAAATAACAAATCAGTTTTGGGAAATTATTTGGTGGGGGTGATTTAATTTTTGGTTAAAATAATGCTAATACATGAACACTTTCTAGATAACCAAATGACACACCAGATGTTTTTATAAAGCCTGTTGATATATAAATTTCACATTTCAGAAATATTAATAAATTTGGCATATGGATTGAGTGGTGGACTCAATTTTGTTGCATCATGCATTGCTTGGATTCTACTCCTTTTGTAACTATCTGCAACAGAATTCTATTCATTTTCAAGACCTTTCTAAATTCCTTTCGTAATGTTGTCTCTTTGTCATGCATGCATGTGCATTGTATCAAATTCAAGAAAGAAAGCAAAAGTGGCCCTTAGTTTCTTTCTTAGTTTCTTTTATGTCCTTAGGAAGTACATAAAAGTAAGTATATAGCATAGTGTAACACATCATATTCTAGAGAAAGGCAACCTAGCTAGGCTAACTAGTCCCTCTTAATTAACAAGCATAACATATTAGCATAACATGTGTCATATTTTCTTCCTGGATGGATGAGACATGATAGGTTATCAGACTATCAACAGTTGATGTCGGACATGTTAAGTTATCAGATTGTCAACTGTTGATGAACATGTTAAGTTATTAGACCGTTAACTTTTGAATCAATGACTTATATAACTTTACGGATTGTATGACAAAACATTTTCTCCAGTGTAATGATTAACTACTAACTCAAATGGTTCAATGTGCAGAATGTGACATGGGGTCAACCTAACATGGTGCAAGCTGAGCGTCGCCTATTAGCCAATGCTTTGCTTGACTTCTCCAACCAACGTTTTGTGCTCCTCTCAGAGTCATGCATACCACTCTTTAACTTCAACATAGTCTACAATTATCTCATGGACTCAAACCAAACGTTCGTGGAGGCCTACGACCTTCCCGGCCCTGTCGGCCGAGACCGGTACAGGCACAAAATGAGGCCTCATATCATACTCGATCAGTGGCGAAAAGGCTCACAGTGGTTCGAAGTGGACCGTGAGATCGCGACCGCAATGGTTTCGGATGAAAAGTACTTCCCGTTATTCACAAGGTATTGCAAACCCCCATGCTACTCCGATGAGCACTACTTGCCCACATATGTAAGCATCAAGTTTTGGAAGAAGAATTCTAACAGGACGTTGACCTGGGTTGACTGGTCGAGGGGTGGGCCCCATCCGTCTAAGTTTATGAGAACAGATGTAACGATCGACTTCTTGAAGAAGCTGAGACATGGAAGCAACTGTGAGTACAATGGGAAGCCAACCAATATTTGCTTTTTGTTTGCAAGGAAGTTCTTGCCACACTCTTTAGATAGGCTGTTGAGGTTTGCTCCAAAGATCATGAGATTCAATTGATTTTTAGGGTTTAGAGGTTTTCTTTTCTTTTCTCATCATTCATTTCTCTGTAAACTAAAAAGGCTTATGGTTGTTTTTGTCATTAGCTTTTGTGGCAAATAAAAAATAAAAAATAAAAAATAAATGAAGGCCAAGCTCTAGAAATTGTTTTCTTTACTTGTTGGGGTAATTTGAGGTGTATAAGGTTAATTTTTCAAAATGATTGTGATATAGCGTGATATTTGTGACATCCTCTTTTTCCTTTTGTGTATCGTTGAGTAGAACACCACATCTCAAATAGAGAAAGACTTGCGTACATTCTTTAGAACATAACGTTTAAGAACAATAGCACAATGATATGTGGTAAATTGATTCTGTAAAATTGTGTAACTGAAAGTGCAAATGATAGATTAAAAAGTCAATAATTCCCTTACCTTTTGTAATCGAGTAGGGTAGAAATAATTTTTTTTAACAAACAATATTATCTACACTAAGGGGATGTGGAGTGTGCTAAGCCTCACAATGGGCTAGCAATAATGTGGTTTAAAGGCGAGAATCGAATTCAAGATATCTCACTTATCATTATTCACGAATGAACCCCAAAAATGTATGTAGAGTTAGGGCAAATTATCAACCGGTCCGTTTGCATGTGAGGACGTATTTATTTATTCCAAATACAAGTGATAGTATTATGTTAGTTTAGTGTGAGAATGTTTGAATTCGAGATGCGGTGGGTTGATGATATATTTGTTATTTACCAAGCCCTCCATGGGCTGTGGCTCGACCCGGATTTTGTTCAAAACCTTGACACCTTGCCAGGCCCAAGTCTGTATGTGAATAGAGGTTGGGTTGCTTAAGCTATTTGGTTCATCAGGCACTGCGGTGGATCTGGTAGCTATTTGGTGGTGGATCTAGTGGCTGTTTGGCTGGAATTTTAATCTTTGACGGAAATCGTTTTTGTGTTTTTTGTCAAATCAGGGTTCGATTTCTTGCCGGTTCATACTACTTGTGTTCGATCTTTGTAAAATTTCTGGAATTTCATTCTTTGAAGGCGGTGATTGTGTGTTGGTGAATTTCTAGGGTACGAAGCCTCTAAGTAATTGTTTGTGATTCTTTCTATTAATCTGAGCAATTCGAGCACGAAACTCCATGTTATTTGCATTTTGTATGCGATGTGTATATCTGCGGTGATCATTTGTTGAAGAATTGAAATTTGAGTTTCTATGATGAGTTTTGTGGATTGTTCTGAGTTTCTTGTTTGGCACGAAACATGTTAGTGTTAATTGTTGGCATGAAGCTTGTTGATTGTTCTGCATTTCTTTTTGGCACGAAGCATGTTGATACTCATTGTTGGCACGAAGCCAGTTTTTCATCAATTTCTTGAGCACGAAGCTATCTGAAGAAGTAAAGTTCTCGGTGGTTTTTAGATATTATATGAAATTTCTTGAAGTATGGCGATGAATTCTATCAAGATTGACAGTTTATTGGGAATGTTAACTATGAGACTACAAATGACAATTTTGTGAAGTGGTCTTTTCAATTTCGATCAGTTCTTGAAGGTTATGACCTATTTGATCATTTTGATGGTTCTTCTGTGTGTCCACCGAAGTTTGTGTTTACTGAGGAGACTGGGATTACTATTGAATTACTAAAGCTTATAAGGAGTGGATTAAATAAGATTAAGCTCTTGTTAGTTTTTTACTGGCCACACTTGGTGATGAAGCAGTTGAGTATGTTGTTGGTTGCAAAACTGCTCATGAAGCCCGGACAAATCTCCAAGATAGATATGCTACTGTGTCTAGGGCTCGAATTAATCATTTGAAGACAGAGTTTCACACTATTAAGAAAGGTGCTAATAGTGTAGAGAAGTATATGCTCAGACTCAAGGCTCTTAAAGATCAATTAATTGCCATTGGTGAAGTAGTATCTGACAATGATCTAATTGTAGTTGTTTTAGCTGGCTTACTTGCTGAGTTTAATATGATTCGAACTGTGATTGTAGCCTGTGAGACTCCAATTTCCTTAAAGGAATTTCAGGCACAATTGTTGGCTGCTGAAAGAACTGCTGAAGAATCTCACTCTACTTTAACTTTTCCAATGTCAACAATGTATTGTCATGGTGAATATTCTAATGTTGCTCAACATTCTCAAGGTTCTTCATAATATTTCGATGGAGGTTGTGGTTATGTCGGTAAAAGTAGTGCTGAATCTTCGACTAATGGTTCAAGCCTCACTGGTGGGATAATTTCTCAAGCTCAATTGCCTCAATTTCATCAACAAGGAAATGGTAAAAAAGGTCGTACCCAGTGCACAAGGCTCCCGCTTTACGCAGGGTCTGGGAGAGGTGAATGTCGGCTAGCCTTACCCCCATTTATAGAGAGGCTGCTCCCAAGTCTCGAACCCGAGACCTACCGCTCATGGGCGAAGGCACTTGCCATTGCACCAAGTGCGACCATGGAAGATTTAATAATAGACCAAGGTATAATGGTGGTAACAATGGCAGATTTTTTGGGAATTCAACCATGTCTTCTGGAAATTTTGGTAATAGTGGAGGTTCTAGTTCAAAAAGAGGATCTAGTTGGCAGAATTGGAATGGCAACACTGGTTCTAAGTCTACTATGATTCCTGAATGATAGATTTGTAACAAGCGCGGTCATACTACACCAAACTATTATTGTAGGTATTCTACAAGTTCTAACACTGCTCCTCAAGTTCCAAAGTGTCAACTATGTGGGAAGTGAGGGCATACTACTCTTAACTGCTACCATATGAGCAATTATGCTTATCAGGGTGCTTAACCACCATCTTCTATCACTGCTCTTACTGCACAAACTCAGCCAAGTTTTGCTTCCTCTTCTCAACCAAACTGGGTGTTGGACACAGGTGTTACACACCACATGACAGCAGATTTGGATAATTTGACTCTGATGGCTTTTTTTGAAGGAAATGAAAGAATCATAATGGGCAATGGTGAAGGATTTCTGGTTGCTAACACTGGTTTGGGTTCCATTTTAACTCCTTAAAAAATGTTAACTTTGAAAATGGTTTTACATGTTCCTCAATTGGCTACAAGTCTATTATCTATTTATAGACTTTGTAAAGATAACAATTGTTATGTTATTCTTGATGAGTTTGGTTTTTGGGTGCAGGACAAGGCAACAAAGAAAATCATCTTGAGAGGAAGGAGTAGTAGTAGTGGCTTGTATTACATTCTTCAACAACATTTTTTCAAGTATTCGCAGTTTTTGGACACTTTACCACAGGCTCTCTTGGGGCAGCTTGTGAAGACATCTATTTGTCATCATCGGCTTGGTGATCCAACCAATGAGGTTTAATCCAAAATGCTTAAGGATTTTTCTATTTCTGTTTGTTTAGATGTACATCCACAGATATACTCATCATGTATTATGGGCAAAATGTCTAGACTTCCATTTAGTTCTAGTACTACTAAGTCTAGTATTCCATTTGAAAAAGTGCATACTGATGTATGGGGACCCTTACCCACTATCTCTGTTGAAGGTTACAAATACTATGTAATCTTTGTTGATAAATGCACAAGGTTTACTTGGATCTTCCCACTTGTGAATAAATTTGATGTATATGATGTGTTTCTTAAATTTCATGCTCTTATTGAGAATCAATTTAAGACAACCACTAAGTCATTACAAACAGATGAGGGAGGTGAATATATGAGTGGATTGTTTAAGAAATTTCTGGATTTACATGGTATTGTGCACCTTGTTTCATGTCCATATACGCCCCAACAAAATGGGTTATCAGAAGGGAAGAATAGGCATATTATTGAGACTGTTGCGACTTTGGTCAGTGCTGCTTCTTTACCTCAGTAATTTTGGTATCATGCTTGCAGTCATGTAGTATTTCTGATGAATCGAATGCCATGCCTAAATTTGCAAATATCATATCCTTATGCTAAGTTGTTTGGAAGGTCTCATTCTTTAGTAAATATTAATGTTTTTGGTATGACTGTCTACCCTTACTTAAAACCTTATAATGCTAATAAGCTGTAAGCTAGAAATGATGAATGTGTATTTTTAGGATACTCAGTTGGTTATAAAGGGGTGTTGTGTTACAATAGAACTACAAGGAGGCTGTTGTTATGTAAGCATGTAATACATGATGAAAGTAGATTTCCCTTTAAGGCTCTTTGTCCTACAACCATCAATACATCTAATTCATCTTTGGCCGATTCCAATTCCCAAAGATTGTCAATTAGAACAATGCCTGTTGTTTTGCCAAGGCATTCGAATGAGTTCACAGATCAGTTGTCCGAGAATTATGTGTGTAGTCAGAATATGGAAGTGCCATCTTTGTCTTCTCAAAGTTTAAGTGTCTTTGCAAGTTCAGACAGTGTCTCAGTACAAACTACTACTCAAGCTACTACTCCACTATCAACTCATTCTTCCTCTCAAGTGTTGCCTATCTATACTCATTCCCAAACTCAGGTATCTTCTTCTTCCCCAGAGATATTGCATACACCTACACAATTTGATACTCACATCACTCATTTAGATAATGAACATGATGTCTCAACCACTGTTATACCTAGTACTGCAGTATATGTTTATTCTGAACATAATATGGTTACAAGGTTGAAAAGTGGTGTAATACAGAGAAGGAATTATGCAGCTTATCATGTATCGTTATCTGATATACAGTTATCTCCTTAGTCACATAATGATGATGTAGTCCTTTATGGTTTCACTTCTGTATTAGATATTCATGATTCTTTTGAGCCTTCTCATTATAAACAAGCAGTTGTATCTGAGCATTGGAGGAATGCTATGACAAAAGAGTTCAATGCACTGCACAAACAAGGGACTTGGGAGTTTGTACCTTATACAGAAAATAAAAATGTTATAGGCAGCAAATGGGTGTATAAAATCAAGAAAGATCAAGAATGGAAGATTTCTAGGTACAAGGCTCGACTGGTTGCACAAGGGTATAGTCAAGAACAAGGTTTGGACTATGACGAAACTTTTAGTCCGGTTGTTCGACATACTACAATACAACTTGTTTTATCTCTTATTGCTATGAATAAATGGGATTTAAGGCAATTAGACGTGAAAATGCATTTTTGCATAGTGAATTACAAAAAGAGGTGTTTATG